TAGATTACTAGTTTTATATATATATATATATATATATATATATATATATATATATATATATATATATATAAAATACCATCTAATACAAGTTGCATATGTTTTAACTAAAATTAGTACTTCTATATTCTCTCTGATAAATTATATATGATTCTATTCATAAGAAAATAAAAGATTAAAGTTGGACATCACAAATTTTAATAATTATAAAACCTTATTTTTAATATAATAAAATTAAAATTCCATAAATATAATTTTAAACAAACTATTACACTTCTTTTCTGGAGTTTTTTTTAAGTGGTTAAAGTTTATGAGAAGTCACATATCTGAGTGACACTTTCGTTTCATTTAATAAAGTCACTAGTAATAATAAATTATTTAATTCAGTTTTTGAATATTTTTTTTATCAATTTCATTATATAAAGAATATACACTATTGGGCAATTTTGTGCGTGTATATTTTGATTGAACAATCTTATCTTTAATAAATAAAAAATGGTTTATTTATTTAATAAAATAAGTAATTGAATAATTTATCTTCATTTTAAATAACTAAATGATTTCTCTTTTGAAAAGTAATTGCTAGATAATTTTTTTAATATATAAAATTATATATATATATATATATATATATATATTAAATTATTTGTATTTTTTAAATAATTACTCATACAAAATAATAAAATTATAAAATATATATCTATATCTATACTATACTACTCTATACTATACTACTAAAGGGATTATTCTTTTAGGGTACTCAATTTTCTTGTTACCAAAACGGCGTAGTATTGTCTAAAACCCATTAACAACTGAATATGCTAACTTGAAAACCCTTAAACCCTAGCTGCTGCTTATTTTTCTTCTTCCTCTTCCCTTGGCACTCTTCTTTTGTCGGGCTTCCTTTTCTCCTTAACCTTGCAGAAGAAAGAGTAAGAGGAAACGAAAATGAATATGAACGAAGAAAGTGAGGAAGCCAGCGCGAGGAGGATCCAAGTGCGGTTCGTGACGAAGTTGAATGCGCCGTTCATTGTTCCGTCCACGGCCATCGCAATCCCTGCCGACCTCACTCGATTCGGCCTATCATCTCTTGTCAACGCACTCATTCAATCCAACGGTATCTCATTCTCAAACGCCGCCGCCGTATATTTTTTTTGTGTGTTAAGTCAAGACTACTGATGAAATTCCTTGGTGGTTGATTTTGCAGATGCTGATTATCAGCCTGAGCCTTTTGATTTTTTGATCGATGGCGAGTTCGTGCGGATGTCGCTCGAGCAGTTTCTTCTCGCTAAGGGAATCTCTGCGGTAATACTTTTGAAACGATTACAAATCCTGTTCTACTTATCTCTACAATTGTATGATTGTCTGTATGACAGAGAGTGAAAATGCACATTGGTTTTATGTGTGTAGTAAAAGAATGCGTATTTTCCCAATAGAAATTGAAGCTGCTCATTGATGTTTGTGTCTATTTGATAAACACTTATACTGTGTTTGGTGGAGAGGAGGGAATTAGGAAATTAATAAATTGGTGAAGTAGAAATGAAATCGATAAGAAATGAAATAGTAATCCATATAATTTTTCAAAGAGATATAGGATAGAGATGATGAGAGAGATGGACAAATGAGTAGAAATAGGCAATACCTCATCAACCTGACTCTGAACTGGGATAAAATTGGTGAACCTCTGGTCTGATCTACTGTTGTCCAAGGTAGTTTTCTGCACCTCTTTTCTAACTGACACAATACACATCAGTCTGCCTACCACACCCAGCTATGCCTGTTACTTTCTTCATGCCAATCTGCCCAACATCTATCATGCCCTGCTACTTTCTTATGTATTCATGAGATATATTGTAAAGGAAACTCAAAATTTTATTGGGAAGAGATGCTAATGTGTATTTTAAGATCAATATAGTCAGTACACTAATGCATATCTTTAAAAAATGGAAGACAACTTTTTTGTACTCTATTTGTGATATAAAATATAAAATATATAGTTAATAGTATAGTGGGTCATGCAGTTCAAATAGTAACCTCCTGTTTCAATCATTGTTCCACTCATCTAGTACCTTGACTAGGTCTATAACCGTTCGATTATGATAACTTTGAAAGATAGGCGAGAAAAGGTATTGTTTGGGTCCCTCCATCTTTTAAATGATTTCTTCACTTTCCTTCTACCACACCATATAATCTCAATTTCACCCTCCTCTCAGTCAAACAAGGGTTTAGGGTTATTTTAAGATCACAAAGTTTGGGACTAAAATGAAATTAAGTAATTAACAGTGGTTAGGTTCAAGAATTAGAATTACGATAAGTGGTTTAGTCTAAAGACCAACATGATAGTGTTATGTATGTACAAATGTAAAATTTAGCAGAGATTTTCTAATGTCAAGGCTAATGTGACAGAAAAATTACACTTTTGGGGATCACCTTTTAGATTTTAATACTTTTAGAGGCCGCAAGTGACATTAAATTACACTTTTTAGAACCTAAGTGACTGTTGACCCATTTTTTTATGTAGTTTGGAGTTTCCATGGATTGCAAATTTATCTTGGGGAATTATATGTGTAGATAAGTAGAATTGCAAGAAGTGGTTTAGTCTAAAGACCAAAATGATAGTGTTTTTGTGTGTACAAATGTAAACTTTAGCAGAGATTTCCTAATGTCAAGACCAATGTGATAGGAAAATTACACTTTTAGGAGCCTCTTTTAGATTTTAATACTTTAGAGACCAAAGTGACATTAAATTACTCTTTTTATAACAAAAGTGAGTATTGACCCATTTTTTATGGAGTTGTTAGGAGTTTCCATGGATTGAAAATTTATCTTGGGGAACTACAAAAAATAATTACAAATATCTTTTATTTTATTTCTTTACATTGGAAACAGACCATTGTTTCCTTTTGCTATGATGTAATATAATCATAGCTAACTGTTTTGAGTGATCAATTATGGAAAGTTAGCTAACTGTTTTGAGTGATCAAGTATTGGAAAGGTAACGACTGTTTTGTGTGGTCAATTTATAGGAAAGGATATTGGAAATTGAGTACACAAGGGCGGTGGCCCCACGGAAGGAGGAAGACCCTTGTTTACACGATGACTGGGTCAGTGCTGTTGATGGTTCTTCTTCTCGGTAAGCTTGCAAATGTGTCATATTTGATAGAATTTTTAAAAAACTAGCACAGATTTTTCAGTATTTCCATAACAATTTTAATTTTTTTTAATATATTCTATATTAACTCTTATGTTCTGTACTGCTGCTAGCAACTGTAATATGCCATTATTTTGTATGGGGCTCTTTTTATTAAACCATTTTCTTTGTGAAAGATTTTACAAGGTTGAATTTAAGTCAGTGTGATTGGTTTTTATTGACTTCAATGAATTTGTTAATCATATCTGGTGATAATGGCAAAAGTGATTGGAAGCAGTAGTTCACTGCCTGGTTTATTTTTGCATTGGCAGTAGCCAGAAGACAGAACCAAACCCTAGTTTGAGTAGGTTTTTTAATGTTTTGGCCATTGGGTTAATGAGTGTTATTGTAAAGCCATTTTTTTTAACTCATGAGTTCCCATTTTGAGGTTTATTTTGCACTGTGGTTGATGGTTACATTGGGAGTATCAAGGGGAAACAGCCTAACCCTCTTTGTGAATAGGTTCTTTAGAGTTTTGGCCATTGCATTAATGATGAGTGTTACTGTAAATACTTTTTGTTTGTTTACCTGGTGACTTTGTGTAATTTTCACCGATATAATAATTTTGATTCTAGTTTACTAAGTTGAATGGTTTTTTTTACCTGTATCTCCTTCACTAAGAATTTAAAGTTGAGTGTTACTGTTTTTGCAGGTTCTTTTTGACAGGATGCTATGATGGTTTAGGGAGGTATAAGAGTCTTACCCAGTTTTGTTCTTTTAGAATTATTGGCATATCATATTATTTATTACTTTCTCCATTTACTTGGCTTCCACCGTTATATGATTAAATTATACTTTAGAGTATGGAAAGGTGCTGGATTATGCACTCATGTATTGGAGGGACATAGTGACGCAATCACTTCTGTTAGTATCATCAATCCAGAAGGTAAGGAAGACAATTATATTCTCCCCAATTTTTTTTTCTGTCTATTTTTCTGATTGCTAGTTGTCATTTTTTTATTGATATCCAGTGTATTTCTGATGATAAAATTATGAAATTTTGTATCTAACAGTAAAATAAAGCTTATGGCTGTTTTGCCTTCGCATTCTCTTAATTTTGCTATTTACATTTTGTTCTTTCCCTGTTCCTTTTTAAGACTGTGATATTATGCTTATTTGTCATTAGTAGTATTTTAATGTTTTAACTTCCTCAAAAGATACTTTCATTTATATGTGCAACTGTAGTCAAAATTGAGTTTCAGTTTCTGAATGGAAAACTGTGGGGAGGGGGTTGGTGGAGGATCATTAACACAATTTATACGATTGAACTAAGCCTATAGTGGAATGCATCCTGGTGAAGACATAGAAAGCATGGCGGCCAAAACATTCTTAATTAAATGATGTTGAAGCATTTGTGCTTTAGTGGGTGGGAATAGTGGCAACATTTGTTGTTCTTTCTGTATAATCCAAATATTGTTCCATAATATATGTATTATGATTAAATTGTTCCAACATATGAATATTTGTACTGTAATCAGGTCTGGAAACTGTTACGGTGGCTACTGCTTCAAAAGACCGGACATTGAGGCTATGGAAGGTAACTAAAAGAAACTGTTAAACTACTGTTTCCTATGCTGTGCTTATGCTTATTATGTTATATTTTCCCCTTTGTGTAAAAGCTCAATACAGAAGAGCCTGTAAACCAGCCTATGAGGGTCAGGGCTTACAAAATCTTGCGTGGTCATAAGTCTGCTGTTCAGAGTGTGGCAGCGCAGACTTCTGGAGAAATGGTTTGTATTTTCTTTTCTATTTTTCTCCACCTTTCTCTCCTTGGTTTATGAGTACAGTAATATAGCAGTCTGTAACACCACTCTTCCTTGTGTCTCATGCATAGATTTGTTCTGCTGCTTGGGATTGTACCATCAATCTATGGCAAACTAATGACTTTAATGCAGAAGATGACCTAGTTTCTAAGAAGAGAAAAATTGGAGATCAAGTTGAGGACTCTCAATTGGAGGTTTGTAGAACTTCCCTACATCTTATTGTTTAAATTATGCGGTCAAAATTGCAATTTGTGTAGTCACACATGTTTCTTCCAAATATTTTACATTTTGAAGTTTGTTTTAACTTTGACTTGTAAGGGATCATCAGATGTGACCCTTTACTCTTTCTTCTCTGCATATTGTAATTGATGAATGGAATTGTAAAAATTTAAGGCTGATACTGAGTTGCTCTTTTTTCTACTGGTTGAATTCGAAGTATCAAGGTTGCTATGTTTGCTTGGCACTAGGGGCTGGAGGCCATGTAGGAAGATGTTTTTGAAACTATTCTAGAAGAAATTTGATCATCTAATTCTGAGTCATGTTCAAACTTATGTTAAAAACTATTGTAGACTTGTATAATAGTTATTTAAAACCTTGTAGATTTTGTTGCAAACTTATTTTCCGTTTCTTTCCCTTTTGATGTATGAATCTTTTCTCTAAAATGAAATTTGAGAAATAAGTTTCCATCTGTTGTATTGCAGGGAGAGGCTTTCACTACCCTTGTTGGCCATACACAGTGTGTATCTTCTGTGGTTTGGCCACAACGGGAGTCAATATTTTCTGCATCATGGGATCATTCTATTAGGAAGTGGGATGTTGAGACTGGCAAAAACTTGTCAGATATAGTAAGTTGAAAAGTTAATGCGCGTGCCTCCCCCCCTTCTTTTTAAATTGTACACTTTTAAAGCGTTCATTTTTTTTCTATAGATAGAACTGTGACATTGTACCATTTAATGCTCTGCCAATGGCTAATTATTTGTGTATAGTCAGGTAACTAAATTAGAACTGGTTTATGGCACACTTGTCTATTTTCTGCTGCTGTTCATTCTATGAATGTCATTTCTTAATCAATTGTTCTTGTGGCTTGAACTTATTTTTTTCTTTGGACAAGTTTTGTCTAGTCCTTTTAAATAGTGTACTAGATCTTCTACATTTTTCCCCAGGCGATTGTTGATTATGATGTTTTTACTTGGTTCTGGTGGTCCAAATTTGTCTTGTTATGAAGCAATCTTGGCTTTGGACCTTGTTTATTCTTAGTTTAGGATAAGTATGTTCTAAAACATAATTAAGTGCTTACTGGGCTTTAGGAATTGGAACCGCTAGCATGCCTAAATTGCCTTCAGCACTAACTCGCCTAATTTGGTCACTCCTAGCCCATATAAGTTGTAGTCTCTTTGGGGGTTGTATAAATTGCAACCTCAAGGGTGATGATTTAATCCTACATTGACTACAGGGTATGACTTATAATACCTTCCAAGTCAGTTTTGTGGTATTGAATTATGTTTAAACTCATTTTAAAATATGATATTAGAGCCTATGCTAGATCCATTGTTGGGCTACCTGCATTTTCTAAGCTCTAGGCAAGCCGCCATGATTGTGGTCACTTCTAGCTCATGTACACTGCAGCCTCCTTGGGAATTGCCTGAGTTGCAACCTCAAGGGTAGCGATTTTAGTCTCGTGTTGACATAGTGATATGATTAAAATAAGTAGAAGACAAATCTTACTTTACAAGTTGATTATGTGATGTACTTCTTTGCCTTAATCTATGTTCTAAGATTCTGATTCATTATGATGGATGTCATGTTTTCTGCTTATCACCTTTTTCATTTATTGGTCTAAACTATTTTCTATACAAAATTACTGTTGAAAAATAGGGTTTGGTAATCGGAAGTAGAGTAGGAACAGAGTTATAAAAATCAATGTTTTAGATTGGATTGTCTTCTATGTACAGTTCTGTGGGAAGGCTCTCAACTGCCTGGATATTGGTGGGGAAGGTTCTGTTCTGATAGCTGCTGGAGGTTCTGACCCTGTCATTAGGATTTGGGATCCTCGTAAGCCAGGTGATAAAGAAAGCTAGTTGTCATTTTTCTCACACCTAGATAGTCTTACATTCATAATGGTATCTTATAAACCAATCTCTTTTCTCTGCAGGCACTTCTGCTCCTGTTTTTCAGTTTGCTTCTCATACATCTTGGGTTTCGGCCTGCAAATGGCATGATCAATCTTGGTTTCATTTACTTTCTTCATCCTATGATGGGAAAGTTATGTTGTGGGATCTGAGAACTGCAGTAATATATCTTTATTCTGCATAGGATTTTTTTCTCCTTGTGTGATTATATGTCCATCTTTGTGCTTTTTCATGATTTTTCTCCGTTGATGTTGCAGTGGCCACTTTCTGTCATTGAATCACACAGTGATAAGGTTTAAAACATTCTTACCATGTTTTTGCTTGAAAATAATACCTTCCCACAACTGAAAATATTTTTTTTATGCTCGAGAGTAGCCAAAATTGTCATTAAAAAAATTGTCATTGTTTAACTCAGGTATTGTCGGCTGATTGGTGGAGAAGTGACAGTGTTATCAGTGGTGGAGCAGACTCCAGACTTTGTATTTCTTCAGACATCCCTGTAAAGTAAGGTAAACTTAATCATATTAGGACAATTATTTTTTGAGGCGGTAGGATATTGACAGATATTTCTTATGCGGGGAACGATTCAAGTTTTAGCCAATTTTGTCTTAGGCTAGTCACAACTGTCAAGTGTATCATCAGTTGTTGTGAACAATGTTTTATTTGTGTCTTGCTAATAGCTATTGATGTAAACACTAAATATTTATATAATTTTGTACGACAAATCTTCGAGCATTTTATTTATTTGTACTCTATAGTTTGTATCTCATTGAGTTATTTCTGCAAACACAACTGTCAAGTGTTTATCAGATGTTGTGAACAAGGTCTTGCTTATGACTTGCTAACGGCTATTGATGCAAACACTAGAAATTATTCATATCATTTTGTACGACAAATCTTCGAACATTTTTCTCATTTGTGCTGTATAGTTTGGTTATTGATAATTCTAAAATACTCGCAGTAATCTCCATCATAAAGTAGAGTTCTGTATTGAAGGTTTTCTTTTGGCTGACTGGTTCAGATATTGGTTGAGTCAATGGAGCGGTTAAATTACATTCCTAGCATGATTCATACTATATTAACTTCCAAGAAATAAATATATTTTTGTATGTTCTGCAGCTATAAAGAATTAGTGAAATATGAACTCACCATCGATGTCTATGATTCATTCATCATTGGGATGCTCAATCCCCACACCAACTGTGCCTCTGACGCAGGGAAGAAAGCTGCATCGAATTCTTCTCTGCAATATTTAGTGCCCATTCTGATCAGCAAAAAACTGTGTAATCTTTTGGGCTTTCTGATCCATTTTTGCATTAGCTCCCCAATTTTCTCTATTATAATCTTCACAGGGCTTCAGATGACCTAGTTTTCCCCTCTCATCCGAGGATTCAAAACCATCTGATATCCACACTAGAAAATGTGATAATAAATCATTTCCACTTCCTCTCATGGGTTATCTTGGGTGTTCGGTAAACTTATTCTGATACCTTGTCTGACCAAGAGCGAAAGCTGTTACAGGAATCTAACTTCATTCCATTATTCATTTCTAAGGACATCCCTTTTTATGAATATACGGTGACCATGGTTCCGACAACCACAGCACCATGGCTGTTTTCTTTGTCTTGCACTAGGTAGTGGTAATAAACAGGCCTTGCATTCATTTGGTAATTCTAATTCTAATGGGTTTTTATCATTTCGAATACAGTTTATTTTAAACACTCAAATTAAATTCTATTGTTGAAATCTACCATTATATTGAACCTTATTATATGTGCGATTTTATATAATTTTCAATTTAACTGCTCAATATTCTTAATTTTCAATTAAAATTACTGCCCAACTTTCAAACAAAGAAGCATCACAATTAAAGCTGCTACGTAATTGACCTGAAATATAATATAGCTCAAAGAAATCTATATTACACATTACATGACACCGATACCAATACCAAAGTTAACTCAACCATTATTAAAGAGAACGCTTCTATCTTTCAAGAACACTACATGCGTTAAGACCAAAGACATAGCTATACTCAAGATTTCAGCCAGCTTAACAATCTACTAACATTCTCTGAAGATCCACCACCTTCTGCAATGTTGCTCATGACCGTCTCTTTAAGTTCTAGACTTTTTGTTCTTATTTGTTCATCACTTATCAATCGGTCCAGTTTTTTCTTAATCTCCCAGCGTGACACAAGTCCATTTTCGTCCGAGTTCAATCCAAGTCCAACCTTCAACTCATCACAAATATAATTTCTGTTCTGAAATTGGTCAGTAAAATAAGGCCAGCACAGGAAGGGCACCCCACTAGAAAAACCTTCTATGATAGAATTCCAACCACAATGGCTAAGAAAGCAAGCTATGGAAGGGTGATTTAGCACCTTCAGTTGAGGGGTCCAACCAACAATCTTACCTTTACTCCCCAAAAATTCACTGGGAAATGCCATCTTATTGTCTTGTCTTACAACCCAAAGAAAGGATCTATTGGTGAGGTCAAGCCCAAGAGCTAGTTCATTGAACTGGTTTTGGTCAAAAAGAGTGAAACTACCAAAGGCAATATACAAAACAGAACAACGAGGTTGTTGATTCAGCCAATCTATGCAAGAGTGGTCTTCTTCCCAGAACTGTCCCAATGATCTTGCCGTTACATTTGTCTTGTCATAACTTCTCAACAATGGACCAACTGGTAGGAGCTTTGGAACACAAGATAATGCACTGGGTTCAAGTTCATATGTGGTGTTGCAAATGCACCACTTTGCAAGATTTGAATTCTGCATACAGTGCACCAGATACTTGAATATTTTCCTCTCAGTTGTTGGGTTATAGACGTTTGACCACCAAATAGCTTTTACGTCCATCGAAGGCATGCTTGGTGATATTTGAAATGTCCCTTTTGTAATTGGACATCCTACAGTGTCAACAAAAATAGAGATATTATGCATGATATGACAAAACAATTTTACCTATTAATTTCCTAATTTCACAAATAGCATAATTCTCAACAACAAAACCTCCAAACATAATTGATCAGTGACAAGTGATGTACATACCATGAGAATCTATGATGCCATCTTGAATGAGATTAGGGATTTTGTATTCCAAGACAAACGTAGCAGCTGATGCAGTGCAGAAGAGAATTCCTTTGATTCCCAGCTTTCTCCCTACTTCCAATGCCCATCCCATTATCACATCAGCAACTATGCATGTGATTCTCTCACCACTATTCACATGAATATCTTCTATGACCTTCTCTAGCATGGAAGGCATGGTGCTTAGCACACTATCACAAAGCTTACCCAAATCACTTCTGTCATCATCAGCTTCTAATCCATCAGGGATTGAAACCAGCTTTATGGTTGGTGATTCTTCAAGGCTTTCTTGCTTGCCCACAGAACTCACCATCCTCTTTTGGCTGAACTCTGTGTTCACAAAAGTGATTTTGCATCCATGCTCAACCATCTTTTCTGAGAAGTTCATCAAGGGATTCACATGTCCTTGGACTGGAAATGGTACAACCAAGAGATTTGGAATGTTCATCTTGGTTGCCTTGACTTTCTATTTTCTCTTTATTTTGAGGCTATACTCAACACTGTTTGGGAGACTCACAGTGGTTTGCACTTCATACATTAGGTTTGGTTTATATAATGAAATAATACATAAAAAACGGAAAAGATGTGTAAACGAAAGTAAGAGTGGTTTATTTTATTTTAATATTAATGAATGCAAAAGTAATATAACTTTACTTTGCTATTTTGATAAATTTTCTTATAATTTTTTTTAGAAAAAAAAATATTAAACCAATCTTTTGGTCCTATAATTGAACAAATTTCATATTTTAATTTCTCCACTTAAAGATAATTAGTTTTAGGATTTCTAAATACAATACTTTAACCACTTTCTGTCTCTGTAGATTTAGACAATAGGAACCAAACAAAGTTAATAAAAACTAAAAAAAGGATTACTCGAATGTGTATGAATTCAAACATTGATTTTTAAATATGGTGAATCAAAGATAAAATTCTACTATTTAGGATTAAATAAATACTTAAATACAAATAGAAATGAAAAGATTTTTTTTCTATTAATTAAAAATATTCAATACATAAACTAATTTGTCAAAGTTTTCTCCTATCAACTTGTTAAAAAATTGTGTTCCTTTGAGGATCTTATCTCCAGCATGCTGTCCGCAGCGCAAAACTTGGTAGTGGTCAGAGGATAAGATACGAAATCAATACATAGAAAAAAAGGAGTTATATAAAAATGTTATATATCCAGTTACTTGGTAGACACGCTAGCTTAATTTCTACCTATTCTTTTTTCATTATTACTTTTGACCGTGAATTGTGATTTTTAAAATGACATTGATAAATAAAATAAGCATTAAATATATTTTTGATTATTAATTTTGACAGAAAATTAATATTGATTAATATTTTTAATTATATTCATTTTATTTTACAACATCTAAAGTTTTAATAATAATAATAATAATAATAATAATGCATTTTTGGTTTATAATATTCTCATTTTAAAATGTAATGTTGTTCTTTTTATATTCATAATTTAATATTTATAATATTCAAAAGGATTAGCTACAGTATTAAATATTGAAAAATTAAGCTACAAGAAGAGAATATAGGATAAATTGTCTATAATTTTTAGAAGAACTAAAAACCTGTTTCCCAGTAAATAAAATAAAATTAATAAGATACCATACTTTCTTTCATTAACCATACTCAAACAGATCAAGCTCTCGGTTAATATTATTATGCAGCTCAAATCATAAATATTATGTGGACGTAGAAAGCCACCTACCTGTACATTATATTATATTTAAAAGTCAAAATATGAGGTTAGGTTAATGAATACAAAATTACAAAACAACATCACGGATAAGATTATTTTAAAAATGATTTTAATCGCTTTACAATCGTCATGGATATAGTTATTATTAAAAACAAATAATGTTAATGACGAGTTTGTTTAAAGTTATTGTTGAATATGTATTTATGATGTTTTTCATTAAAATCATTATCATATGTTACATATTCGGTGATGATTATGATGATGATTTTATATTTTTTAAAAATATTTAGTTTGTTTCTGTTGCATTTCTTAATTAAAAAAATATGCATATAAATAATAAGTGAGATTTATCGTATAAAATCATATATTAATAGAAAACTTTAATAAAATTAACTATATAAAATATTGCAAATAAGTATTTATAATGTGAAAAACTTTAAAACATAAAAATTATAAGTGAAAACTAGAATTAAAAAAATGGATTTTAGAAATTATTCCAATATCATTTATCCTAATATGTTATAACATGATTACCCACAATTAAGATATTTTTCCATCCATTTAAATTCTTGATTTGTAATATGCAATCATTAAAATATTAAAATATGTGTATCTTTTTATATTTTATATTGTTTTTGTATAATATCTTCTCTGTCTCATACTTACATAATAATTTTGGCTTTATTTTACTAAGTTGAATGACCTTTTACCTGTATGTCATTCGCTAAGAATTTAAAGTTGAGTAGTAAGAGTCTTCTTTTAGAATTATGAAGCGTCGTCTTTCAACATTTCAATCTAATTTTTCATAAAATTTGTATCTTTTTTTCCACTTTTCTTCTCATCTTCTCATTATGCACATTTGTATTTTAGATTATGCAATTCATAATATACTTTTTGTTTTGTATTTTAAAGGCTTAAATGCTTACTTCGTCCTCATGTTAAGAGGTGAATTTCTGTTTAGTATCCGGTTTTAAATATGAAGACATCGGGTCCCTATGTTATGAAAAGTGTATGAATAAGGTCCTCTTCGTTAAGTTGACAGCAACAACGTTATGTCCATGCTGATGTGCCTGTATTTTTTCTCTTCTCTCTTCTGCTGTCCAGCTTTTTATTCTCTCTTGTTCAGTTTTTTCTTTGATGATTTGTTGTACCTTTTCTTTCTCTGTGGACCTTATTCATATATTCTTCATAACATAGGGACCCGATGTCTTCATTTTTAAAATTGGATACTAAACAGAAATTCACTTCTTAACATAGGGACGAAGTAAGCATTTAAGCCTATTTTAAAATATAAAATCTAAAATACAAATTTTATATTTTAAATTGTACATTCCAAAATACTTTTAAATATGGCTATTCCAAAATTTAATAAATCTCCTAAATTAGAAAATAAAATTGAAAATTTCAAATTAGAAATTTCTTATTGTATTTTCATAATTTTGATCTACACTTGTTATAATTTTTTATATTCTAGATTGTAAAATGTGAATTTGAATTTCGAGTACATTTCAG